ACTACAAGATTAAGTTTTTTAACTTTCACTCAAAAATGGTTCTTTCAATTTTCGTCAAAAATTATACAATGTAAGATGCATTTGTGACAAATATTTTGTCAAAAAAAAAAATCAAGTTCTATGGTACCGTTCTTAAAGGAATAAATTATTATCAATAATTTTAGTCTAAACTCTTACATAAAATATGCATTAATCTTTTTTTTGGAATAATAAAAGACAAATTAATGAAGATGCAGGAAGCTAATGTGTATATTTCATAAAGAAAATTAATTTTATTTCGAAGGACTCTGGGTCTTTTTTGTGATACGCGGCGCGGAGCAAACGAACTACCTTAAAGGAATTTTTTCAAATTTTTTTAAATATCAAAATTTAATTGAATATTATAATTTCCGAACTTGAGATGTTCACAGTTTCATGTTATTTTCATTAATGACGTTATTATATTTATACAAAACTAAACTTAACAGAGTTTGTAATAATATCATATCCTAACTCATCTTTAATGTATTGGTTTTGATACTTGTGTCTGTCTGTGTTGGTTTCATAGAGTAAAGGTATAATTTCTTACTATTAGTTATTGATGATAGATGAAGACTCAAGCTAACCGCAATAAACTATGCACCTCTTGTGCATTATAGAATTCCTAATTCAATATAAATTTACAATAGCATAGGTTACAAATAGAATAGACTAGACATGCTATGTACCGATATGTACATCAAAATAGTCATTCTTTCTTTTCAAGTTCACAGTATTTTACTCTCTATGGTAGCTGCGATAACATTTAGTTTATGGATTTTTTCAATAAAATTCAAATTAATTTATATCATCTATTATTCAATAACTGTTACAAATTGTTAAATAAATGAAATAATTTCTATAAACATTTGTGAATTAATGTCACATCAATTTATTCATTCTAATAAAATTAACTCTCTTAAGCAATTTTCACAAATAATTGTTCTAATGTTATGTTACAAAGATTGTTGTTCACGCAATTTTTCAATTTTGTAAACAATTCCATCTATAACGAAATACTGTTGCTGCTGCTAGAAATTATGCACAACTGATTATTATTTATTCAATATAATTATCTAAATTATAAACCTGCAACAATAAATTACTTTTTTGTATTTATTACTTGAAGAAAAATATAGTTGTGGTGATGTATCGTAAATGAAAACTAATTTGTGGAACGAACGAATTAGAAATTAGATTCAATGATTGGATAAAAAATTAGTGGATAAAAATGAAAACGAATGTAAAATGTTGATAAAGTAATTTGTAATTGAATAGACGGATAATTTAAATGGAGCGAAAATTAATTGAAATCCTATCATCGAAGACGAGTGAGTCGAGGGAGGATAGAGCAATTATTCATGGCAAGTCGGTGAGTAAAGGAGGTTGGTGAAGGTGTAATTTAATTACCTCGAGGCACGAATGGAGACATGAATATCCGTTGTGCGAAACAAGAGGGCCAAAGGAAAGAAAGTAAAAGAAGGAAGAGGAAAGAAACAAATGCAAGTTATGTTGCAAATTGAAACTGGTCATATAACAGGCTTTGGTATATATATATGTCAGTAAAAAGACTTTACGCTCAGATCGTATACAATTATAAGTGTACTTTATAGCTACTGTTCCGTCATTTTATTTCCAGTCCGTTATGATTCAAATGGAAATTTCAAATTTTATAACAGTGGATATCATAAATGTCTTTTCAATTTCCTTGCATGAGAGATTCGGAATTTAGACTTTAATTCTCTCTATTTAATTAATATTTTGATGACATTTCTCTTCTTTTTGTTTAGTTTAAAATTATATTCAGCTTAATTTATAATTATTCTCAAAATAAAATGTTAAAAATTGAATTCATATATTTATTTAAAGATATAATTATTATTTTTATTTTAAAATTTACATTTTATTAATTATAGATAATTTTGTTAATGAAAGAAATATAAATTTTAATTGAGCTAATTGATATTAAAATAAGAATACTTTTATTTTAGGCCGCCAGAGAACAAAACAGCTACAATTCAAAAAGACAAATCCTAACTAGGAATATTTATTTAAAATCGTTTCGACTATTTACTGTACTCTCTTAAACTGAATCAGTGATAACTACTCCGAGTTAGTGAATATTGGCACTGGATATCAGTAAATATTCACTGATTCAGTTTAAGAGAGTAAATGACATAATATTTCCACAATATCTTCATTTTGAATTTTCTGGAAATTTATTAAAAATATTTTTCATCTAAAAGAAGTGAGTAAAGTTTTTTTTCATTTATTCGCTCATGGATGAGGTTTTTCACTTTAAATAGAAACACAGTATGCTTTAAAAAAATTAATTTAGTAAATGCAGTAAAAATAAAATAAAATTCAATGACAATCTATTATAAAATTGAATATTTTTCGAGTAAAGTGGTTCAAATTGTTATTTATATTTTATTAGTTTATGTAAGCAATTGAAAATTTGTACATAAACGCTTCAATTTAAGAGAAAAATATTTCAATCAAAAAACTGAATATTCCTTACTAAAAGTGACGGATAAATATTTAAAAAAATATAATTATAACGCAATTTTTGAAATTAATGAATGAGTGAATCAACGTTTTAACACCAAATATTAATGACGGATATGTGCGGTCCGGTTGGTGCTAAAGCGTGAACCCACGAACCAACGAAAACCCTTGGTCTACTCTCTATTCTCGTCGTCGGGTTGTGGTTTAGCAGCGCTACAACCACATTTACCACGAGGTCCGGTATTGAAGGTACAACGTACTATTAGCGGAAAGGAGAAAAACGAACACAAAAGCACAAGAGTTAGTAGCGAGCAATAAAGAAGGTAAAAAAGTTAGAAGGGGGTGAAAACGCTATCGAGCAAATAAAATTTGGTGGAACGAGATTCGATCGGCAATACGACTCACGAGAACAAGAAAAGAACCACTTGAAAGCGATTTTTAGGTGGACAGAAAACTTAGAAACCTGGGTGAGAAAGGTCTTTTGTCGCTACAGCTCATATTTCTGAAGGCAATAAAAACATTGAGAAATCCGATCGGCTTGAAGATCGAGTTACTCAACTCAAGTATTTAGGGTGACTTTACTAGGGGATTGAAGTAGCTTTGATTCTACTGGATGATAATATACAACATAATTATTTTTGTTGTCAAGTTACTATTTTCTTTTTTATTTTCGTAAAAATCATGAAAAATCGTTGCAGTACAAATTCATTGTTTAAAATATTTATGCGTTGGACAAACTTAATAGCGTTTGATGTCTCAAAATAGTTTAAATCCTAATTGTACCAACTACTTTTAATTTAGAGAATAGATATAAATAAAAACCATGGTTTTAACTCTTGTAAACTAAATCAGTAAATAGTCAGTGATTGAATTAATTGCAAGGATATCATTCATAGCCAATCGATAATTATTTAAACTCTTAATGAAAGTTTAATTCACTGATATATTAATGAAAGTTTAATTCAATAATATTATGTAAGTTGTAAACATTCTTCCAATTTAAAACAGTGAAATTTTTCTAAAATTTTAAACCAATGGAATAGTAATATATTTGAATATTAAAATGATTAAATAATTTTACATTTTTGAATATTTTACAAAGACTGAGATCAATTACTTATTTCCGAGTAACTTAATGATGTATATAAAATTCATCTAGACCATGATTAGATTTAATATTAATAAATCTTAAACATCAAAGTTAACAACATGTAAATTATCACTAATGTAGTAGAACATTGTTTGATCATTAAATCATTTGTCCACTTTATTCTCTTACGTAATAAAATGAAACAAGTTCACTGGATAGCTCTCTTTAACTATTAATGTTATAATTAAGAAAATACATAAATAATTGCCATCAGGATTGAACTTAAGAGCTTTATAATAGACGTTAAGTATGTATGTAGCTACTATTTATAACTCTATAGATATATAGATAATTTCTTGGCAAGCATACATAAGTGGTACATAAATCACATAAATTTCTGTTACATCCATGCATAATTATATTGCATCATGAAGAAAACAATAAGAAGCAGTTGTAGAATCAATTAAAAACAGATTATACACTGATAATTGTTTTATCGAATTGATTATTTTTCATGTGTAAGAAACAGTACAATTACGATTATTTGTTATTTACCAACAGGTATGGTGGAATAAAAAATCGAATCTATTAGCAATTTATCAAAAGGATAAGCTCTATCATACCATTGAATTTAAATTTCAATTCAATATCAAATGAAACATTTCATTGAATTGAAAAATCGAAAATAGAAAAACGTCAAAAAAATCTGTAATCAAATGGTTATTTTTCCAGTAAATAAAGATGAAAAATATAGAAAAAAAAATTCTAACATTGAAATGTGAATGAACTTGACTGTTGATTGCAATATTTTTTTATTTTTTTAAGCTTGAAAACAAAAATCGTTAACTCTATTAACGAACAATATGCTTCTATTGTGAGTAATAAAAACTTGTGAGCAAGCGAAATTTCGATGAGAAATGTATATCCAGTCAAAAATGTATATAGGGTCTTTGCAGGTGTTCGACTGATCGATTATTCTGTTCTCTCGTTTCTCTTTATTTCCTGCAGCTGCATAGCATCGACAAGCAAGTGGCACAGAATCGATCCGATTCCTGGGCTTGTGAACGAGACGCATGGCTTGTGGAATACAAATTTGTCAGACCTTAACACGAGATATACCTCAAGATATTGCCGGGACGTGAAGACGTTCAAATGCCAACGTGCTTAAGTCAAAATACGAGAAGAAAAATTTTTTGAATCATATTTTATTCTGTTTGAAGTCTTTTTATTTCAATTGCTCATTACTTACAGAGATAAACTGTTAAAAATTTTTCTCCCAAATATTCACTACTCCTCAAGAGTACTTAAAAGAAAATAAGCATTACTTTAAAAGACATTTATCATAAACACATTCGTAATCAATTGTTTTTCATTTGTGTTTCAGACTGAACTGTCACAGAATCTCCAGCAGCTTTCAGAACGTGCTCGTTCCACGACGGAATTTATCCAAAGACTCAAAGGGATGACGGATAAAGTGCATGTAAGTGTATATTTTGACGCACTAGCTTTCATTCTAAACTATTTTTTTATTTTTCATTCGACTTTTCTCTTTTTCTCGTTCCTCGCATGAGGGAAAGGAGGAAATTGGAAAAAGTGTGAGTCTAGCGGAAAAATGTGCGAAAAGGCACGACGCTTGGGGGTGCTTCTATTGAGGAAAAAATCTCTAGACACGAAACAGTGAAAGAAGAAAATATTTTGTAGACTAAGAAAATTTTCAGTTACTTCCAAGCATAATATATATATATATATATTTTCATTTGATTACATTTAAGAAGAAATTTTAAATGTAATAAATGCTATTTTTGCACTTTTTTTCAAAAAATAATATTCTATATCCGACGAAAAGTTATATTACCTCTAGAGACTCGTAAAATGAAGCTGCTCTAAAACCATCAGTTTATCGAATGATCGGTGCAGCTTTTCAAACGATGAAAGTGTTTCTCAGAAAATAGCATTTGACACATAACGGCAAGGTTACACGTGTCGTAATAATGAAGTTTATTGGCGACTTCATCTTCGGTCTACGTGAGAAATAATGCACCTGTGTAGCTTTTATGTAGTCATAAAATCTTCAGGTATATTACCAGCAATGTACATCTATAATGAAATGTATGTTACCTCCAGTATTTATTCATAAATACTAAACTGCAAAAAATATTCAATATTTTCATAAATAATTCGTGACATTTAAATGAAAATTTTCTAGAAGATTATCATAATAATAAATAAATGATGAGAATAGTATTTTAATGTTAAATTATTAACTTACATACTTGAATCATGAATTTTTGAATTAAATAGCATTACAAATTCCAGGGAAAATATTTATATTAGAATTTACTGTCACGAAAAAGACACAATAAATTACAGTGTCTTCTTTTATTCTCTTTTTCCTGAAAATTTCAATATGCTTACACAGTCTGTTATTATTCCAGGAGGAATGCGCTGCATTAGAAGAAGAAGTGGAAGAGAGGGTGGCGAGTTTGGTGAATATTCTTCAAGCGAGAAAGTCTCGTTTGATAGAAGCTGCAAGACAAACAAGAGACGCCAGAGTTAGATCTCTACGGGATCAAGTTGGAAGATGTGCTACTCACTTACAGTCCACAACTGCTTTGCTTACGTTTTGTATTGAGGCACTCAAGGAAACCGACAGTACTGCTTTCCTACAGATTGGTGGAATGTTGTCTATGAGAGCTGCCAATGCTGCTGGATCATGGGGCGCTGCTGAAGGTGTTCAGGAAATGGCTCGGTTACCACTTCTTGATCTCACACTCGATGACAAACCAGTCAGACGTGCTATCGATCAGCTTACCTTCGTTCAGCTGAAACGTGAGTCCCGTCAGTAATTTAACAAACTTTAGGCTTGAGGTTTTGCTCGGCAAGGAAAAAGTCTTTTTTTATTTCTCATTATTTAGAAGAGTAGTACTTTTTTAGTAATTGCCTTGAAATTCAATTGATTACATAAAGAAGTTTAAAACCTTTTTATCCCTGCATTGATTCGTTAGTGATCATCAGCGATCATTTTGTTGAGTAAAGGTGCAATGTACAATTAGGTTTATTTCTTTTAAACAAACAAAAGTATCGAGATTTTCTCTCAATTTTATTTTAAAACTGAAAATAAATATTTATATCAGAACAAAATGACATGGTACTTGTGCATGTATGAGATTCTTCCTTAATGTTGCTGCTAAAATTTTTTTTTTAGTACAGAAATTAAATTTAAGATGATAGACAACATCTTTAATGATTACTTGTGAAGAAAATGATCCAAATTAAAAAAGTTCTATTAGTATTTTTATTTTTAAAAATAAATGAGTGAATATATACTATTTCGTATTGATTTTCACTGATTGTTATTTAGAAAAATAGATTTTTTTTGACTGTTTATTGATCACAAATAATTGAACAGAGGAGTATATTGATATAACAACTTTTGTAAATTGAAAATATTATTCACAAGCTATGACAAAAACATAATATTTAATTATTTAAATTTTTCTCACTACAACATTGCAATTTACAATAAATTATATTTATAAATATTCATAGTTTTTAATTGAGCTAAAAAAGTTTATCATCTGAAACTATGTCATACAAAACTATAGAATGAGTTTTTTTGTTGAACATAGAATTTAATTAACTAATAGAATGCATTGTTTGCATGGCAATATTCCTTAATTGTGATAAAACGTAGTAGTGACAAATTAAGCTTGACCAATTAGTAATGCTATATTTAATATATTAATTAATAAGTAATCTAAAATGTTGGACGCAGCAATGGAGGGAGAAGATCGATATCCTACCGCAGGTAACGACCGAAATATAACCAGAAATAGAAAAGAATAGAATTATAAGAAAGTTAAAGGATTTAAACCATCAAAACTTTGGATCAAAAAGCACGTAAAGCTATAACTTATTCACAGGAATATGTTTGATCTATTGAATAATTTCCAACGTTGCCTACCATGACTTTTGAACAGTATTTTACCTTTACTGAGCGTCCCAAAAGCGGATTAATTAGGTAACTAAGGGAATAACCAAGTTAACGATTTCCTTGTGTATTACTACAGTCTTTACTATTTGCATAAGCACGAGGAGATTTACCAGCCAGATTTAGTATCAGAGAAGGGAGAATATGATAAAGCTAATGATTCTAATAATTCTTCATTATCTGTTTTCAAACATAAAATTCATCCGATTTTAAATTTCCTAATTAGAAAAGAATTTTGATGAGCTTTTGCTTTACAATTTTTTTGTGAATATTACATCATACGCCTGAAGTGTACTTATGCAATTTTATCTAAAAAAGACACTTTATTCAGATACTTTAGTAGAAACATGGGATCAGTGTATTTAACCATTTTCCAACGTCCAGCCAGAAATGAGCCAAACTTGATTCTTATCAAACTATTATTCGCTTTTTTCAACCAAGCTGATAACAATTAGCAAGCAGTTGAAAACATTTTTATCAATTTTTTCATGAAAATTTTAATTAAAAGATTCTATTGACTTCAAGGTACTGAAAAATTTAAAGGATCAAAATGGAAATGCATTAAAATTCTTGACAGTTCATCCTGCAAAAAATACGAATATGGATTCTAGTAGATTAGTACAAACTTGACGTAATTCACGAGTGTTACATTTTCCTGTAAATCCCATTCTCAATGCTCGTTTGTACGAGAAGAAGATTATGAATGAGCCCCATATAGTTGGAAGAGAAGCTCACAAGAGTTATTGAATGTCCAGCCAATCCGCTATATACGATTTTATTCCATTCGCTATGCTTCCAGAAAACCCTGATCGTTACGTAACCACCTTTCATGTTGAGCTAGAAAACTTTACACTTTGTGATATTACACACTAAACGGTGCAAGGTTTGTTTAAAACGATATTTTATCAGATTTCAATTTCAATTCAGTTGAAATTTTTACTTTATTTTTCTTTCAATTGAATTCAATGTTTATAAGAAGTAGAAGTTCAAAATCATTTAATCGTTATTTAATAGAATATTTCGAAAGTTTTAACAGCAAACGAAAGTCCTAAGAAATTTTATTACTCTTTCTTCTCTCGATCTCTAGCATTTCTTATTCAATTCGTCTCACTCTCTGTTCACTTTCAACTTTGAGCGCTTTTACCTGTAATTCAATATACATAAAGTATACTGATGTAGTAATAAAAAAAAAATCTTTATCATCATTGTTGTGTTACTTTAAGATAGGAAAAATATGATTTTATTCGTAAACTTTAAACTTATAATAAAACTTGAGATTGTACTTTTTTGATACAATATTTACGTGATGTTCATAAACTTACGTAATACAAGTATTTAAATATTCCAAAAAGTCAAATAACAGTGGTAATAAATTTTTTCGTGGACTATCAAAAGTTTCAAGATAGTGAGAATGGAATATAGCGCTCAGACATGAATCTAGTGGATAAATTGCTTTAGTGGTTGGACAGACACGTCAGTCGTGACCAGTAGATAACTCGCGGTAGAGTCAGACATGTGAATGTCACTTATTGTTAGTATAGCTATCTCTGTTTCGTTCCAACACTTGACAGTCTAAATTTGTGAACAATATAATCACCGAGATCGAAAAAAATATCTCAAAATAATTGCAATGCACAAGAAAAATAGAAAAAAATTTTATTAAATTAAAATAATCAATAAAAACAGTAATCTATGTATTTTAAAACATTTATTCAAGATCATGAACCATATTTTATATTCACAAGCAAACTGTATTCATCACTTTTGCAATAGCACGTTCAATTTTCAAATACAAATAACTAAATGATCGAATTCATGCATAAACAACAAACTGAAGGAAGTAAAGCTTGTCAATAAATCGTAGTAAAAACTAATGAAAATATATTTGCAATGTTGGTGAATATTTGTATTTTTTGTCATAATAAAAGTTTCAGCTGCAGACATAACTAAACGAATTGTATAAATAAACAAATGAGGAAAAATATAGTCGGATCAATAACATGAAAGAAACACTTTATCAACATCAGTTACGAGTAAAATAAACAAATAATAACAATAGAAATAATACTGAAATACTTTCAATAAATGGTAAAAAATATTAAAAAATAATAAAAAATAATAATGAATTCTGTTTAGTAATATCATATTTCATTCGTTCAACTCTGAAATACTTTTTATTTAATTAATCAACCAATATTAAACACATTTTTCTCTGCAGTTTTCAAGCCCCTAGAGCGATGAGAATATTTGTCTGTGAACGAGGGAATATTTCGATGCTAATAATAGCTGATGAAAATTGAAACATTTTCCCCATGAATTTTTAATGATTTTGTTTATAGAATTGCTCTTAAAGCTTCAATTTCATTATATAATAATTTTAATAATAAAATAATGAAATAAATAATAACGATTCTATTTCAAGATAATAATAATAATAATAATTTTTTAATCACCTCACTTTAAAGAGGAAAAGTATTTTGATTGATCTGTTTGAATCATACTTTATTCTATTGAACGATATCATATTCAGTGAATTTCTTGAAAATATTTTTATATCTAAATTCAGAAATTAAATGTCTTTCTTAATGATTAAATTATTCCCGTAATCTAGAATTAAAAAAAATAAAAGTACCAATTAAGTCAGATGTTAAGATAAATGATATCTTTTTCATTTTAATAATATTTAGTTGTAGTATTTTAGGATAAATGAATTGTGAAATAGTTTTTTTTCGATCGAGAATTAAATTGCTTATGAAGTTCAAGAAAAGGAAATGAAAAAAATGTATTGACAAGCTTGAAGTTAGCAATATAAAATGCAATCAAAATGTTCGAAGTAATTGAGGAAGGAATTGTAATAGAGACGACGAAAATGCCATCAAACTTGACTACTATGGCAAGTTTCTCAGAAACCACGAGAGGTTTACATTGAGAGAACTGAGCTTATTAACAGTTCCTGGGGACAATGAACTTTCCTGTCGACTACGACTCCTTTATGCTGGACATTCCCTTCACATAATTTCTCTTTTCTCTTACAACTAACCAACCAGCGATAGCTACAAACATTCGTTTTCAGTAGTGATTTAGTATACATACAATGTAAAGTGTAATTTGCAATTTATAATATCACTAGCAAGCTTGTGAGCATTCTCTAAATTCGGCTCCAAATTTAATTGAATGTTCAGGTTGCTGAACAAGCTGAGTATAAAAGAGAAAAGTGTAATGCTGACGTTTGCCTGTGCTTACTAGATAAACTTACTGAAAAAACTCATTACGAGATTTTTTCTCTTCAAGAAATAAAAAAACAAAATAAAAGCAACGAGTAGAAAATGGTTATTTTATTTGGAATGTCATGAAAGAATGAACAAAAAACTCGATTAAAAAAGTTATTTCATCTATAATTTCTGAATAATTGAAATACAATAGATATTTTTTTAAAAGCAATTTCAACATCGATAGAAAATAAAGAAAAACATATATTATGTTATTTTATAATATTCGCCATCAACAAACAATAGGAAATTCAATAATTTATCGAGCTTTATTTTCATGTAGCTTTTGTAAAGCCTAAATTAAAAAACATACTAATTCATTCATTTTCATATTTTAAAAAGAATAATTTAATTTATTAATAACTTGGTAATTGAATTTTTACTTCAAACAAAATTCCACGAAAGTAATAAACATAATTATACTTGATGCTTTTATATTTTTGAATTTACATTAATTCAACAAAAAATTTTTAATAATTATAAAAATTAATAATGTAATTGAATTCTATAAAAAAGAGTCTAATTGAAGTATCTTACAATAACATATAATTGGGTTCTCTTAATTGATTTTTTAATTAGCAGATATTAATAAATAATAATTAAATTACATAGAATATTTTTGAATAAACGACTAAATTGTTTTATCAATTTACAGCGCCCGGTGCACCAGTATTAATTCCTGAAGAGTGTAGTGCTGAAAATAACAGCGTGACGGTTGCCTGGCAGCCCCCAGCCGGTCACGGAATTGGATGTGGTCAACGTGGTCCAGCTATCGAAGGTTATCTACTGGAACTTGACGACGGATGTGGTGGAGAGTTTAGGGTAAGAAGGGAACAGCTAGTCAATACCAAACGTATATCGATAGAAGTTTGGACTAGTAGCCAGAACAAACAGTCCATCAGAAAAGCGATTTGCCACGTGGGGATTACTTTCCTGAATTTTCTCTTATCTTGTGTCATTCTGCTTCGGCTTTCGTGCAAATTCTCGGGCGGTTGTTCTCTTCATGTTAACAAGAGAGGAAGTAATAAGAAGAATATAAATGTAGAGGGTGGAAGAGAAATCGGTTTACTTATCACAAACAACTTCCACATCAACTCAATCGTATATAATGCAAAGATTCTTTGTTGTAACGTAAGAAAACTCAGGAATTAATGCTTTCATGTACTCATCTTGTCTCTACAAACTTGACTTTCAGAAATTACTTAAAGTTCAAATTGGTTTATTAATATTTGAATATAAATTGTTACCAAGCTCATTAAAGTTTGGCTTACCTGGAAATTATGAAAGAGGTATTACGTAAAAGGATATTACTGAAGATAAGTTGAGTAAATAAAGGCTTATTCATTTGAGTATTTAGTTAATGAATTTCATTATTGAATTACAATAATTTTAATTGTCAAAAATACGTTACTTGAAGGAAATTTCGACTTTACTTTTCTTTGATAGGATTTTCTAGCAGAATTTTAACACTTTGCATTTCAATATTATACAAAGGTTAAGAGAAACAGTTTATTTGAATATATCTTTTTTGAAACTTTTTTATATTACATGAATTCTGAATTAAAAAATTTCATATCAATCATTCTCAATTTAGTTTTTCTTTTAGTAAATAATTTTAAAAATCAAGAGATCATTTTCAACTTTTTGTTCTCAAAATTCAATTTTATGTGAATGAAAAAATACTCTAGTTTTATGGTTTTATTAACTTTCCAGTGGAAAGTTATTGTAAAGGGTCCGATTCTGCGAATCCTGAATTTTGACAAATCTCTACTTTTCAAGTCGGATACAATCATTTCAAAGTGGACGTCTGCGTGTGTATGTACGTATGGAATTATTTTTCGGCTCAATTGTTTCGAGAAAAAAAATGATATCGACGTAGGACTAATTGCATTTGACGCATAATTACGCAACTTAGAACTGATTAGATTTTCAACTAAATCGGGCCAGTCATTTTTGATTCTACATAAAAATAGCTGTATAAAATAATTCTTCTGCTATAGCTCAGTATCTTCATTCTTTCCTTTGGGACGTTAGTCGTGTGACTTTTCGGATCGCACTCAGACTACTGCAGAGCACTGATATTTATTAGTGAAGTTTAGTCATTTTGATAGAAAAGTTATGAAAATTTTTTAATATGAATATTATAGATTAAAGGTTAAAATTAAAAATATAGTCAAATATTGAAAACTTGTCTAAAAAAAATTTTTTTCCTTTAAATCAACATGTTATTTTAAAATGAAACAATTATTTCTGTTGGTTTAACTTCTTAACATTGTTGTTACAAATAATGTGTATTTCTCTTCACTCAACTTCCGGTAGGCGATTTCTAACTCAACAATTTTCTCCGTTAAAAAAATACATTACACAAACGTCAAACAAAAATGACGAATTTAGATTACCATTCGTTATTTGGCTCTCATTTTTGTCCGGACTTCCGTTAAATTTATATTTTTGCTTTTGAACTCTTCCAACTGTCACCGGAAATATCGAGATTCTGTCGTATAACGGGCATGGACTGAAACATTTTCACTAGGCAGTCGTAAATGCTCGAATAAGCCTTGGAAGTAAAAGCATGCTCGTTAATTCCACGTTGCTGGCTTAACGGCTAACATCAGTGATATACTTCTCTCGTGTTTCATGGCTACTTCTATCATGCAACATGGTACAATAGTATTTACAAACCTGACCTTTCTTCCACTTCACAGCTAACACACCACAAAATAATTCTGTGCAGGAAGTTTACTGCGGCCGAGAAACCATCTGCACTGTGGATGGGCTTCACTTCAATTCGCTTTATAAAGCTCGGGTCAGAGCATTCAACAGCGCTGGCGAAGGCGAATACTCGGAACTCATTGGTCTTCAAACAGCTGAATGTACGTCTTTTTATTACTTTGTACTGAAAACTTAATTGAATTTTATTTTTATACTTTTCTTGTTTCATCAACAAAACAAATTGATACCCAAAACAGCAAACTTTTTTGAAAAAGAATTCATCTACTGCTACTCATTTTGATTAATTTCAAATTTAATACGAAGTAAAGAAGTTGATTATTTTGTTAAAAGTATATTTTGATGTTAAATTAGCTATTTTATTAGACAGCATGCAGAAAAACTTTATTACAAAAACACTCGAGTTTTAGGCAACAAAAAACTCCAAGCTTCGTTTTTTGAAAAAGATAAAGAAAAATAAAAAAATACGACTGGTAAAAAATTTAATATATCTCTTATTTCATGATTTATAGTGGCGTGGTTTTCATGGGCATCCGGTGCACCAGGAATTCCCCAAGAGGTTTCAATATCAGAGGACGCAATGAGTGCGTCGTGCGAAGGCTACGAGCACCGAGTAGTACTTTCAAGCGTTGGATTTTCACGAGGAATTCACTACTGGGAGCTTACTATTGACCGGTATCACAGTGATACTGACCCAGCCTTTGGGATTGCACGAGCTGATGTTTCACGCAATAAAATGTTGGGTAAGTTATTTAAATATTTTATCTTCCAATTTTCTCGGCAGACTTCCCCAGACTCTATAATTCTAACATCATGAACTATTATTACATTTGAATAAAATATCCATAAAACAAAATAAAACTTCGTGAGAACATAAATCTACATCTTACCTTGACATTTGTCTCAATTCAAGAAACAACAATTTACTTGAGAAGCAATCGGAAAACTCCTAGACTTCAATTTGTACTCGTCTTGTGAGACATTTCAGAGATGTTAAGTTTTTCTTTCACAAAAAAAGCAAATGAATTCCTTTCATTCTTATCACGTGCTTTACTCTATCAAGAAATAATCCTACGAATCCTCAACTCTTTAAGAATATTATTTAAGACTAGCGGCGTGGCAATTATTTATTTAATTGACTCTACGAATTGAATGAACTAATTAATAATAAATCCATTCAAGAAAAAATTATAGTTGTTGAGAATTTTTTATAAATTACTTAAAAAGTCGATCAATACATGCTGGGCAACAAAATTGAATTTCTTTTATTTCATGTCAGTTACATAGATTATAAATTAATTAATTTCTTCAAATTTTGAATTCAAAAAAAGAAAAGAAAAAATAGGTTACATTAATAATTGAATGTTATTGAATAATTAATTATATTTTATGAATAATTTATGATAATTTCCATTTTAACCAATCAACTTAAAATTGAAGTTTCATAATTTACTGCAGTTCAGAGCAAAAAGCTATTTGTTGTATTCATTTACTGGTTTTCAATCTAAGATCATTATAAAAATGTTTTAACTACTTTTTCAACTTTTTTTTTTTATTTATTCACGTGATGAAAACAGTGATCGTAAATTCTGAATTTATACGATTTAAATTTGATAAAATGAGCTTTTATACTCATCTTGTATAATCAAAGGCGAATTATTTTTGAATAAAAACACATGTCAATAACAGAAACAGTCAACTATTTTTCATTCTAAAAAGATATGGCCTGAGTTATGTAAATACATATTGCATTAAGCTTTGAGTTTACATCAATGGAAATATAATTATTAGCAAACATATAAAATGATGAGAATTATATTACTTAATCTTGTAATCAACAAAGTTCTCGTTCTTTTATTATTTTTACTATTTGTACTGTCTAATGATGAATAATTTCGTGTATCATTAATTAAAAATATTTGGTAATGGTAAACAGTGATACATACCCACAAAACCAGGTTTTTCATCTCAAGGTTGACTTCACATGTTCACAGGCAAAGATGACAAGGGTTGGAGCATGTACATAGACCGTCAAAGATCTTGGTTTATGCACGCCGATGGTCATGCCCAAAGGACTGAGGGTGGTGTACAACAAGGCTCGACTGTTGGTGTACTCTTGGACCTCGATACTACCCATACGCTTCGCTTCTTTGTCAACGACCAGCCTCAGGGTGGTATTGCGTTCCGCGATCTGTATGGTGTCTTCTATCCAGCAGTGAGTCTCAACCGTGGAGTCACTGTTACTCTTCACACTGCAATTGATCCACCTCGACATCTTCTCGCTCTTCATGACGAGTATGTCAGTGATATTGTTCAGAGCTAGGGGTACCTAATAGTCCTGAAAAAGGGTCTATTATCGCCCCAGGAAAATGGGAATGTCAGCGAAAATGAACGACAAAAAGACCATGATCTGCAGAGTCAAACGTTAGAAAAAATTGATGAAGAAGGTCCAACAGAAATGAATTAATAAATAATCGATAAAAGTAATTATTGGAGATAATTATTTTAATAGCAGGAAAGGAAATAATGAAGTTTGTTTGTTTTGATTTCAATTATTAAATTTTATGTAGTTAACGATTAAATAATATAATTGAATAGGGCATTTATTTGTTTTCTTTTTTTTTTAATGAGGAAAAATTCCTTAATAAATAATTTTAGTCAATTAAAAGATTTGCGTAGCAAAATTATTATTAGAATGATTTTTTAAATTATTTTCTGACAAATTGATCAATAAAATACGCGATTGATTAGTTAAAATAATTGAATTGTCTTGGGAAAAATTTAAAAATCAATCCATTGAATAAATTTTAAAATTGAATGGTGTTTTTTTGGAATTGCAGATTTAATAAGAAATTTTATCCGTTACTATAACATTAAGACTGATTCTCAGCACCCATCTCTAAGCTATAAATAATCACTTCTTCTAAATTAATTATTAAAAATTACTTTGAAAAAATTCACACTAATAAATTACTCGAAATTTTGTGAAAATAATCAAGAAATAATTATTGAAAATTAATTTTTTATTGCAAAAATATAAATACGTGAGACTGTAGTTGTTCTTTTGCAAAAAGAAAGAATAATGTAAAAGGAATTTTTGCACTGGTCGCTTTAACAATATATTAATTTTTACCAGTGTGTTACTATCATATCGATCGTACTAAAATGTATTCTAGAAACTAAGAATGTCAGTATCATAGATTTTACATATTATTATTCCGAATAAATTTTATTGATAAAGAAATGAATATGGAAAAATAAATAAAGCGTGATTTAAATAATGAAGTGTAAAAAAAATCACATAAATTAAATAAGTAAATTTTCTAGTCTTAATAGATAAATGATCAATTCTTATTTTTACATTAAAAATTATTTTTTATCAAATATATTAAATGGAAACATTACCTAATAAATATTGAATATTTTTAGTTAGTCTATTAATTTTTTATGTAGGTAAGTTAACAAATAATTTTAAAAGGGAGAAGGCTAATTAGCTATCGCGACCACAATCGTGGTTGGTGGTCATTCACTGGACAGGGTGACAATGTTATCACAAAATGCTCCACACATGCAAACAGAATTGTATTATCCACATCACGGGCATAATTTTGTACATAAATGTAAATAATATTATTATATCATCTATCATATTAGAATAATGCCGATAAATTGCCAATTGTAACATTTATCATTGTATTCAAACAATAAATGCGCTAAGAAAAAATCAATAAAGAAATCAGTAAAATCTTTCAAAATGTTTTGTTTTATTTCTAGTATTCAAACCTATAAAGCCATGAGAGTAAACGAAATAAGAAATCTATTTCCTTTCTTACTTTCAACATCTTACTTTTTTCTTCAACTTTGATACCTTTATTGACTATTTCTTTTTTCAATTTTAGTTTCTTTACTTTACTCTTTTTATATTACCTTTTTTTGTTTTTTCCCTTCTTCTTTCTATTTGATGTGAAACTTCCATCTCTAATGGTTACTACATTAAAAATGATTAACAATGGCTGATGTATTTGCTTTTATTCTTATTTCAACTTCGATTTCACTCTCACCTTTACTGTTGTTGAAGTTTTTTTGTAGTTTATTTTCCCATTCAGACAATCTTTCACATTGGAATTTTTCTGAAATAAAAATAGAGTAAATAATGAGTAAATTTTTTTCAGAAAACTTTTATCATTTTCTTACAAAGGCATCTAACTCCAGTAATAATGAAATAATATTCATAATTTTTTTTTATTAAATTTCCATGTTCAAAGGTGGACTTTGGATGAATAACAGAATTTTCATATTGATAACGAGATTCTCAACTGAATTTTAATCATTACTGAGTCGAGAGAATTGTCTTTTAAATGACAAATCGAAGGATCTTTGAAGCGTGTTCTTATTTCCTCTCAAACGAGGGTATTAAAGTTTGCCATGTAGGAGAGGGAAAAGGTATATGAGCTTCTAGACGCGTGCGTGTGTCTTCAAGTGGAAGAGGGGTCTGGTGATGTTCTTGTGTGTACTAGGATGTGTTCACTAGTAGTGACTAGATGAAAGGACGAGGAAAAAAAAAGAAAAGAAACAAATAAATTTTGAACGAACATCCAATTCATACTCATAAGAGAAACAGATATGACTATACTCTTCTAGTCTTTCAGTAAAACGTGTTCTAACTAAGAAAGAAAATTAAAAGAAAAAGTAAACGAGTTGTTGAAACAAAGAACACTCCAATGAGTAGGTGACTAGGGAGTAGTTGAAAAAAGTCACATGTATGACATTTTCCAGTAGTACATGCTTGCATTTTAATTGGGAACACAACTTTTGGCAGAACAAGAGATCGGAATAAAGGGTTAGGATAAAAATAGCTGCTTGAGCTTCAAAAATACCTTAGGCTTCTATGAATAATGGAAAAGTGATCTCTTCATTTTTTTGGAGAATTGGATTCTGAAAAAGAGTAAAATCAGTTTAACATTTTTGGTATTATGTTTTAAATAAAAATGGATGCATTTATGCATAGAAAAATTTAATTCAAATTATCTAGATGGTTTCCAGATGAGATTTATTTAATGAATAATAATAAATTAAATAGGTAGAGATAGACGAGAAGAATCCTAGAATAATGATACGATAATGCAACCGAAATAGTAGAGGAAAAGGGAATTTTCCTACTCTAAGGTCCCACCAAAAGGATTTAGAATCCCCTTTATCTCTATTGCTCAGTACGTCGTATGATTAATTTTCAATTAAATATTATACTCATTTAATAAGCAACTATTTTATCCAAGATAATGTAGCAAGTGATTAATGTAAATAGTCAATTTGAATAAAAAAAGTAAATTTCCAATTACAATAGAATATTTTCCAATAAATGGGTGACATTGTATCAAGCAAACTTAGTTATACTCTACGTCTGAGACAAATTTCCCAGAAAGACATGACAATATTTTAATAATGAATTGAAATTAGATAGAAAAAAAAATAATAAAAGCAAAGTTGAAACGTATTTCTGACTTTTCCTCTCGACAGGAGATTAGGGAGATTCTGACGAGCTGGAAATGAGACGGGGTACTATCTGTCTGCCATTATACTCACGATCAAATCCCAGATGCTCTTTCAAGTGAGAGGAAAAGGTGCATTTGGAAGAAAGGAATCTTTTTAAAGTTGATTCTCTGGTTGGAACTGATTTATCTATTGCCTTCTTTTCTGGTCTTGTTGGAACGTGCGCTGAAGTAAGGCGTGCTACTATAATGGAACCTGGAGTGCAGACGGTGGAACGTCTATAGTTAGATCTTTTACAAGTTGGTTGGTAAACTCAGGAACGTTTGATTTGGATTGAGTGTCTGTATAAGTTTTAGGTTTGCATAGGTCGAAAGACACGATCTAAACAGATCTTGAGTTCTAAAGCAAAGCAGACAGTTTGATAGGACAGATGACACAATAATCTTGTGCTTTTGGCCTCTCACAGTCTCTGTATCTTTCTGTTCTAAATAGTGCAAGTTATATTAGATTTGTCGAGTTTACAAACTCTCAAGAGGATAGTATGAGAGTTCAAAGATATACAGATGTTCAAAATAGAAGTTACATCATAAGTACATGATTTTTGAATAAGTCAAAAAAAACTCGTGCTGTGAATTGTAAGTTTAAATTATCTTTTTTTATTTCCGTTTATCTTTCTTGGTTATACCTATGCCTTTGAAAAAAATCAATATTTTCGAACAACTTGGATCATCTTTCATAGAAATAAGTATGATCGATAACCAATAATCAATGAGCACACACTGTAGTGCCCTTTAGAAAACCTCAAAGTTTATAGCTTAGGATATTTTCTTTACATTAGAAGGGTCGTTAAGCGCCAGGGTGCCATGAGGCTCAATGCTTCCCTAACAAGATCTCATTGGTATTCTAATTTATGATGGATCGATGTATGCCACTACTTGGAGTTGAATGATTCTTTTTATTGTCTAGAGAATCTCAATTCACAAGTTTCTAGATTAATATTAAACTTAATCCTCTAGAGCCGTGTTATAAGTCTATTTGAGTGACATAGGCTCTCTCTACAGGGCCAACAGAAAACCATTTCTTATTAAAGTTGTGAATACGTAAATTAGGCCATCGATTTTATGAAACTGCGGAAACTTTCAGACCACGTAGAAACGGTGAAAATCCTCTCGCGGTAGTGGATCTATGAAATTTTAAGTACTCAACGTTGAAACTTTGCCTTGTTACTCAGTACTCAACACTCTAGTGTCTGTACTGAAGTGTTCTTTAGCATAACCGCACACTCAGAATCAAGAGCGACATGGAGAAAAGCTCGATAAGTCGGGGGCCGCGCAGGTGGTCTTCGTTGGCTTTATTACTTCTAGTCTAGATTCGCGCTATGAGGGTGATATTACACTTTTTATCATCAAGCTTCTTCTTATCTTTATTTTCTACTTCTGATGGTAACTTATTTTTCATTTTAACTTATTTGAATATTGAGGTTTTAAATAACTTACTTTAACATGACATTGTATTTTCAAGTTTATTCAATTACCAAATTGTGTTTACACAGAATTTATTTGTCAATGTGAATACTCACATTAAATTTTGCTTTCTGACTAATTGTTTGATTAACGTTTTTCTTGGGATCATTTGGTCATTTCTTTAGATTCTTCTTCAAAAGAAATTATTCTTTCCTTTTTGATAAAATTAATATTTAATTGTCAATCTAACATTGAAATACAGTTAAAAAATTATTTTCTACAATTTTTTTATTTAATCGTTGACTGTCTAAAGATGATATTAATTAATGAGAATTTATTGAAGTTTTGAATTTAAACTTTTGGCGTACAAATTCATCTTTGTTGAAAATATTTTCAATTAGATGAACATATTGTAATAACTTGGATTGTTCTGAACTGTTACATACCCGTTTATCTTTTGATTGTTCAAACACATTTTCATTGATTGAATAGTTGTGTATTTTTTTGTAGATATAATTCCAAATATCGTTGATAAATATTTGAATATACTGAAAGGAATCAAATATTCTATTTTTCTGAAAAAAAACCAAAGAGAAATTATTTTTTTTTAAAAGTTTTTTAACGTTGCTTTAGTTTG